TGACATTTAGAAATCCGATAACAAGCAAACAGGATGTTTTAACGATTTCTGAGCACGTCAGTTAGAATAAAGGGATTGTAATTCAATATTAAATATTTTTTTACAAAACCATTATTATCACTAATATAAACTAGTATGATTATTATTATTGTGACAATATTCTTACAGGAAATATTCCAATACAAAATGAATAAAGTTATTTTCAACTATTTACATGAATGGAATTGAAATATATATTACATTCAAATATATATTTATTCTGATGTCGATGAAGTTTAGTTATTGACCAAATAAACTTTACTGGCATGCAACAAGCTGTGCTAAGCACTTCCAATTGAATTAAGTTCCATTCCCCACCGAGTAATATCCGATCTAAACGTAATATCCTACCAATTTTCCGTATGTGCTTACGAGTGAACATGAAATAAATCAGTTTAATTGCACTTGAAATTTTGTGACAATTAAAATACAATCTTTGTAGAATTTAGTAAATACCCTATTCAATTAGATCAACATGTAGTATTGGATTAATAAAACTCTTTATCAGGACATAAAGAATGATCAGGATTATTTAATAGACGAGATGAACAATCGCTTTTCTTCATTTTGTTATCCTACAAAAATGGAACATTTTCTTTCTAAAACTGTCCAACTCTAATTTATTTTCTGATAGTAAATAAAATTTTTATGTTTACTTAAAACATAAACATGAACTTGGTGTTGTATTTATCTCTTATTTATGTGATATTATAACTTACAAAAAAGTGAAAAACATCATGTATTTGAACTTGTAAAAATTTCTATTCCAGTGTATAGTCCATTGAAATTCAAACCACCTACAAACTACAACAATAATCGATCTCCATGTTATACAGGGTACCTGTGCATCTATATAATTTTCAGACCCCTCCGGGATACAACTATGTACACTGCGCAAGTGATTTCTATGATACAAACTCAAATATCTCAACGGAACTCTAGCAGTAAACTTGAATGAGATAACTAATAGTTGGTACATTGAACTACAAATCTTTTCTTTTATTCTGCAGATAAGTCTTTAGAACATTTATAATTTAAATAAACAAAAATGCTACCATTCAAAGTCAATATTAACTAAAAAATAATTATAACATATTTTATGAAGACCAAACAAGATTAATGACTAAACAAAAAAATTTCATTCTATACCGTTGCTTAATTATTGATTTATACTCGTCCATTTCTGTTTTTTAAATTAAAAATATTTTCAATTTTTAGATTCTTCTTTCAATTTGCTAAAATTGAATGATGATTTTTTTTCCTATATAAAACAAATATGATCCACATGAAAAAGTCTGGTTTAGTTTTATAACATTTTTTAAAATTGCAAAAACGTTCACACATTTCAGCATAGTCATTCTGTATTTTATTTATAATAAGAATCTTACTTAAAAAATAGTTGAAAAAGAATTTTTACATTAAAACTCACAATATATAGTTGTACAAATTTACTAATCCATAACTGCCTGATGTCTTTCAGACACAATAAATTTTCTGTGGGACAAACTTCCATTAAAGTCGAAGACAGTTACACTCGTCAACATCATCGAGGACAGATGCTCGTTATTTGATCCATCTAAACACATAACTTCTAACACTTCCATTTAGTTACTTTCCTCAAGACACCACATTTCAAAGCTCATAACTGCCTTTCCATTATATTAATCATGCAAAACTACGAATTGTATTAATTCAACTTGACTAACAAAATGATGAATAAACCAACGAAACATAATTAACTAAAATCTTCTATAGTCATTGGCATTAAAATATGCTTGGACTAAATGATGTTACTTAACTCAATTACTTTTACATATGCAATTACTTATTCTGTGAAATCGATTAGAAATTAGAGTTTCTGTGTGAATAATCGATAAGTACATATAAGATAAATGAGTTAATAGAAACTTTAAAAAAAAAAAAACGTCAAGCTGAATGTTATAACAGTTTTGTTAAATACAATATTTTTTACTGATGTTTCTGAGATATTCAATCAAAAATCAAATATTCGGTTCAGTTCGTTAAATTACTGAATCCTCTAAACTGCAGATGGAATTGTATCCACTTCAATAAAATTCAACTTTTTTAAAGCATCGATGCTTGATCGAATTTTTATAGTAGCTTGCAGTGACACTCGTTGTTCTGTGGTGCTTCTTTCTATCTCAAGAACCAACTAGCAGAATATTTCATTTATTCTAGAGAAATTAAAATATCATGGAAAATAAAATACATCTCTTATTTATACACAAAAAAAAAAAGATAAATTATTAACTATGGTTCAATAAACTGTATACGTATGTAGTACGAAATATATTTTTCGTCATGCCTGCGCGGAAAGTTCACTTTTCCATTGGAGAGGGGTTGAACTTTCCACTCAGGTATGACGAAAAATTATATTCAGCCCTAAGGAGGACAATTAGACAAGCTTAAACCACGTGTTTACCCCCCTCGCCTTCGGCTCGGGTTGTAATTTTACACGTGGTTTGAGCTAGTCTACTTTTCCTCCCTAGGTGTGAAATATACTATTCCTTGGATAGGCATATATGCAAGAAGCGTGATTTATTTTTCGGAAGAATTCTAAAGTTACTTTTGCCAATGAATATATTTATTTCCAAGATATATTTTTAGGTGCTGTCAGTAGTGTCTATTTGATATTTATAATATTGCTGAAGACACGAAAATGTTAAGAAGAATAAATTAAATGTCTCTATCTATTTAAAAGCCGATTTAACTTGAAAAAACTTTATGAGAATCTCGTGAAATCTTCTTTAGTAACAGAGTTATCCAATTAGGTATTTCAAAAGAGTATCAAAACCTTTGAAATCGCCAATTACAAAGTAGTATGTTTCATTCCTCAATTAAACGCCTTCAAATGAGGATCATTATGATGAAACTAAATCTCCTCATCATAAAGATAAAAAATTGTTTTTAATTTTGAATTTGATAAATCCATTATCTATGCCATATTATGAGAAAAATACTTATTTTTCATTTAGCATAATGGCTTTGAAAATAAACAGTCAGTATCATTGATGTAATATAACATCGATCTGAGGTGACGTTTACTTATTGATCATGTACAGTTCTGCTGAAGTTAAAGCTAACAGTTTCGCATGTATATATGTATGTAGTCACTTCAAATATTCTCTGTTTCGTCAGAATAACTTCAACTCCTATCAAACAATCAAAACTTTCGTTGTAACAATGTCGATATGTAACCTGTCTCATAAATAATTTATAAATCACTATTTGAATTTATATGTATTCAAAAATCATTCTATATCTTCAAGTATTATTACTTATTAACGTGTTTTGAATCAACATTTGCTTTTTTATATAAATAAAATATCATAATCATTTATGTGAGAGATTTCTAAGTAAAAAGACTACTCTAAAAGTTTTCATTCTTCTCCTAATCTTAGGATTTTATAAAAAAAAAAAAAAAAACATTAGCATAAAATATAAAATGCACATTATAATTATCATACATCTTCATAATAGCTTTTGTTTAATTGACAGAAATTATGAGACAGGATACATTTTCATTTTTTTTTTTAAAATAATGAAATAAGATTTCTCAAAACTTTTTTAATTAAAAAATAATTGGCATTATACTATGTTTAATTAAAACTTTTTAACATAAATTATATAATACATTAAAAAATATCAATGATTATGTTCTTGAACAATAATAATTTATTTTAAACCTCGAATGTAATTAAAGCAGCTCTTCATCTGGTATGTCTCCTCTTTCTCGATGATCAAAGTCAGAACTATACCAGTTTTCTTCGCCTTCTGGAATATCTCCTCTCGAAGGTTCTTCATCAGATGAGTCAACAACAGTTAAAGTTGGTTTAAAATCAGGTCCAAAGGTACTGCGCCTATGAGGCACATTGTTAATATCTGTGCCATAGTCATAGTCAGGATATTCGTTCCATCCTTGTGATCCAGAATTGTGACTAGGTCTTGCTGTTACAAAGTTTGTGAAACAATTGAATAGTACAATAATAGTAAGTATTAGCAAAATTTTCTTCATAGTACTATTATTTTTTAGTTTGAAATGTTGAAATGAACCACTTTGTATGAACTTGACTTTACTTCTGGTTAGGTGTCAGTACTCAACATTGGATTTATAGGTTCAATAAAATCTGCCTTGAACTAGTAATCTAAAAACTTATTGAAACAAGTTCAAATTTAATCCCATAAAATTAAAAAATCTAAATAAAGATAAGCTTATGCATATATTAAAATTCATTATCTTAAGTGACATGATTTTTTTATATTGAAGGTGATATCAATCATCGAGTTCGGTTATCTCACATATTTGAGTGATTAATGGATTAATTTACTGTTGATACACTGTCGTATTTGAATTTTTTTCAAGTTTATCATCAATCCTACGTTCTAAACATCATTATTTACCTTTTTTGGAATTACTTATCATATTCATTAATAATGATATCTCAAACCTACATTATCAACCACCTGATCGTTCTGCTAATAACACTTGAGTGATTTCACTTGGACGGAAATCGAAACGGCTGTAATCTTGACTCTTAATTTTGATAATTATAGAAATATAATTAAAAATTATGTATATCTAATCTTCTTCAATATTGAAGGTAACATAAATCATAAGGTGAATTAATTTATGCATATACATTTGTAATTAATTCTGCTGAATCACAAAAACATTCCTTTATGCTAGAACGTCGTGTCGAACCGAATGGTGCTTACAGTAACCATTGAAATTTCATCATAAAAAGTTGGAGTAATTAGGAATGTATTTTGTAATCATATATCATAATGAACGTTTAGAATATCAAATAATGGAAATTGTAAATAAACTCTTTTAACTAATTTCATAATATCATGTAATCTATTAATTAGAATATAATAAAAATCATATGAAAATTGCAAGTTAATTAATGTAATTCGTTCGATAAATGAGAAGTTAAATCTGATAGTAATAAAATATATTATTTCAATTTTATTTGTTACAAATCATAATTTCTTTAGATAAATAAAAACAATTATTATGAGAATTATACAGATTCTTGTGCTTTTCGATATTCAAACACACTTCCATGTTCAACGAATTTCTTTGGTACACTTTGTGCCTCTAATGACTTCGTTCCAGGAGTTCCATATCCTCCACCTCCTGGAGTTTCCAACAGGAATGTATCCTAAAAACAGAATCGAAAAAATCTCATAAATTATTATTAAATTGCAAACTTTTGATATCGAAAAAATTTGGCGTCCATTTTTTATGCTAAGTGCTCTCAAAAAGTACATGAAGATCTCATACATTTAAAAATTTTTTTATAACCTACGTTTTTTTTTCTCTCTATATATATATATATAAGTGATATATACAGTAAAAGAGTGTTCGTATGTCATTCCTAGTTTTAAAATAAATGTGAAGGCAACTGACTGTTCCATAAGTACTAGAAAATGTTCACTCCATCCATCAGATTTCATGCCGGCTGGGCGTCAAAGCGTTCTTCACTTCAATGAAACTTTATAATTTGAGTTTCATCACACTCTAATCAAGTTTTTGGAGTATATGTAAATCTTAGTTATCTTCAATATAATTTTCTATCATCATTATCACGACCATCTTCTTATTATCATATTTTTTTTGCAAAATAAGCATACCGTAACATATAACAGATGAAACCAAGATGATTTTTTCATCTGAATATACATTTTTGTTGGTACGTGCCAGCTATAGCTTCGATAACAACAGAGAGTATGGTGATATGTCATGGTACCAAACATGAAAAAGGCGGTGAGCCGGAAGAAAAGAGGCTGCTTTCCACTCGTAGAAATAAAATCTTTACGAGATCACATAAAACTACGGAAATCTGGGTCTTATATAAGTATGCATATGCAACATATATGTCTGACTCTATAAGGTATAGATATACACATACTTTCTTTAGCTGTTTAAAATTTTTTTATAAGAGAATATTTTTATTATCATTACAATAAACTTTATAAAAATTTTAATTTTATGAGGAGTCAAAGAAATTTATCTTGAACCCAAGAATAAAAGGGATATAGTAAATAAAGTAACAACTGCTCCAATTTAATATCTATTGTAACTAAAGGAAACTTTAAAAAGTTCGCCAAAGGTTTTACATAAAAGTTATAGAGAAAATAAATATTATCAAATACGATAAACATATAAACTTACCCCCGGAAGTACAGGTACTGCAGTTTTTGGCCCAAGATTAATTTTCCTACCATCTGCTCTTATCAGAGTGTTTCGTCCTCGAGCTCCTGGTAAACCACCCTCTAAACCTGGTGGACTGTGAGATCTTCTCTCTGTCAAAACAGATAACGTCATGGATGATCGGAACTTCATTTTCCGGATAACTCCATCACCTCCACGATGAGCGCCATTTCCCCCACTTCCCGGACGTAAAGAAAATTGTTCAAGTATAACAGGATATCGTAATTCAAGAATTTCCGGATCGGTGATTCGTGTGTTAGTCATATGTGTATGAATTCCTCCTCTGCCATCCCAAGTTGGACCCTTTAAATAAGCATTATTAGCTTAAAAGTTGATCAATAAACATTTCATGGTAATAAATATCACTATCCTCTTACAGCTCCACTTCCACCTGCGACAGTTTCATAATAACCCCATGTATCTGTACCTAAAGTAATATTATTCATACACCCTTGCGAAGCAGCACAAGCACCGAAAGCCGTAAAGACTACATCAACAACTCGCTGAGAAGTCAAAACATTTCCACCAACTACAGCAGCATCTTCTGACGGATCTAGCAAGGATCCTTTGGGAATTATTATTTGCACTGGTTTCAAACAACCCTACAAAAGACCATCTTCATAATATTTTAAAAAAAATGCAATAATTCTCAGTGATAATAAACTAGTCCATACTTGATTTAACGGAATATCTCGACCAACGATGCACCTTAAGCAATAAATTATTGCTGATAACGTAACCGCACGTGGTGCATTGCAATTACCCCAAACTTCGTAGCTGGTACCTCTAAAAAAAAATCATCTCTATTGATAATTCTCCTATACTTGAAGCTATTTTATGAGTCAATTTTAGTGGGATTTATTTGAGAAATTGCTATAAATAACAAGCACGAAATGAGCAATTCCAACGTACGTAAAGTCGCAAATGGCCTGACCCTTTTCTACATCGAACTCAAGCCGTAGTTGAATTACACTCCCATCATCCAGATAATCCACGGCCCTGACAGTGGTACTTGCCGTTTTATGAAGCAACTTTCTCCCTACAGACGTGAGCATTTCGCGCACAGCTAGTTCCGCATTTTGCTGTATATGAGCCATGTATGCTTGGACAACATCCAAGCTATAAATGTCAATGAGTTCGTTTACCAGCTGCGTGCCCTGCAAGCCGATTTCAAGTCAATATACTCAATAACACTTCTTCACTCCATTTATTTACAATTTTTCACCTTATGATTAGCAGCTATTTGTGCTTTGAGATCACTTAAATTATCTGCCAAGTTTCGAGTTCCAGAACTCCCCGGTATTTTCCCTGGTTCCATCAAAGCTTCTGTTAACTCTTTCTCACGAAAAATTCCTTTGTGAACTAATAAAAAGCTTTTAAAAGTAGCTCCTTCCTGTATAGTTTTATAAAATAATAAAATTATACTTTGATACATTGTTAATTTTTAAATTGTTAAATGAATGAAGAAAACTCCTAGACATTTATAATCTTATAATATACGTCTTTTTTAGTATTATTAATTTTCGGTTTTAAAGTTTCTTATTCACTTTGAATACTCTTAATTGATGGACGATTGATCGTAGAAACTTTTATGAAGACACTTTCGAACCGAGAAGCATGAACTTTTCAATAAAGTTATCGTTTTTTATTTAACTATTTTTTATCCATTTTATGGAGTTATGGAGTTTTTAGTGTTTCGTAAAACAATAATAGATCATAAAAAAGTAATGCTTTCAAAAGCTTTTCAGTTTAGGAAATAAAAATAAATAAATAAATAAAACAATTCAATATTCAGGAAATCTAAGTATTAATTTTATGTAATTGATAAATGCGATCATTAAAAAAAAGTTAAAAGTAAATAAAAGAAAAACTAGTTTTCGGGTTTTTGATAAATGCTCGAACAGTCTTACAGCGTTGTTGAAATTCTACAAGCATCGTGAATAGAATAGAAAATTTTTAGCAAAATACAGTAGCACTATTTACTTGATTTAAGGATGTTGAATGGGGAGGCATTGACCCTGGGGTAATACCACCAATGTCTGCATGATGACCTCTGCTAGCTACGAAAAATACGGGCTGTGGCAAGTCACTAAGGATAATTTTTTTTAATCCCCACGTTTTTATTTTAAAAAATAAAATATCTTATAAATGGTTTGGCTTACCTATAGAAAACTGGCGTAATTACAGTTAAATCCGGTAAATGTGACCCACCAGCTGAGGGATGATTAGCCAGGATTACGTCACCTCGACTGAATACTCCTTCAAATGCTCTCATTTGATACTGCACCGTCTCTTGCATTGCACCTAAATGAACTGGAATGTGAGGAGCATTCGATACAAGACCACCATCTGGTCCGAATACAGCACAAGAAAAGTCAAGTCGTTCTTTTATATTGGTGGAAATAGAAGTTCTCTGTAGAATTCTAAGCAATGATTAATCAAAGATATTATTAAACGGAATAGAGATCATTTTAAAGGTTTTAAAATAGTTAAACAATACCTGCCCATTTGTTCAGCAATACTCATAAATCTATGCGAGAAAATACTTAAGTGAATCGTATCTAATTCTGTGGTAACGAGCGATCGTTTGCCCTTTCCAATTGTTATCCGTATATCTCCACGGGATGTAACACAGCCAGTGCAATCGGGCTCAATTAAAATTGTACTTAAGCTGTCCATGATAATTGCCGGACCATTGATCATATGGCCATGCATTAGTGTATGCATTAGATAAACATTGGTATCTTGATATCCACCTTCAAAATATACTTTTGCAACCTGTTAAATTAAAGACAGATGCTACAATGGTTATTTTAGTTCACTAGTCATGTTGTATTAAATCAACTCCTTTTTAATATCAGGTTTATTTATACTTTTTCAATTTTCGGAGGTTCAGTTACTGATGGTAATTCTTTTTCTTCAGGAATTTTTGATTTACCGATTCCACGAACTCGAATATCGTTTACAACAATCTTTCGACTTGGCATTGTAAATCCAAACTCTGTTTGATATCTACAAAAAATGGTAACAATTTGAACATTTATACATCGTCAATAATTATTATTCAAAAATTATTTACCGTTCCAAAAAAGTTGATTCGAAATCTCCATACTTTGGGCATTCTTTTTCATGTTCACTTGTATTTAATATTTTAGGAGTACACATTAATGCACAATCAGTACCTTCATAACGTAAATGTAAATAATATTCAAATTTTATTTGATCGTCAGTGAATCCTTGATTGTATAGTTTTTTTTTGACATTTTCCTTTAAATAATCAAAGCGCTCTCCAAGATGTTGAAAAGAATCTGTTAATAATGACCATTAGTTTATTCCTGAAAACTTACTATTTAATGACGTCCAATTATTAATATAATATAATGATTTTCATTCACCTTTTTCATAAAATTCAGCACTAGGCTCTTGAGATTCTTCAACAACATCTGCAAGAGCCATTCCATACGCCGATAAAATACCAGCGTACTTATGAACGAAAACTGTACTCATACCCAGAGACCGAGCTATTGCACAAGCATGCTGTCCGCCTGCTCCACCAAAACATGCCAAAACGTGCATTGCAGTGTTATATCCTTTAGCCTAGTTATTTTAACATTACATTATCCACATAATTTATTTTAAATTTATTTATTTATGTAGATAAATACCTGAGTAAGTGCTCGAATAGGACGACACATTGTTTCATTTGCAACTTTAATCAATCCCATAGCAACTTCTTCAATCGTCATTTCTGTTTTTGCTGCATTTTCAAGTGTTGATAAATAATCATTCACCTGAATTTGCAAACAGAGAATAAATATAAAAACTTTTTTAACAAATCAAGTGACTTACTTGTTTTGTTAATTCTTTAAAAGCTTTTAAAGTCACTGATTTATCCAATGGTTCATTTTCATTTGGTCCAAATATTTTAGGAAAATATTCAGGCAGCAACCGTCCAAGGACAAGATTAGCATCAGTCACAGCTAAAGGACCTCCTTTTTTATAACAAGCAGGACCAGGATGAGCTCCTGCACTTTCTGGTCCAACTTCAAATAGACCAGATCTGAAAAATAACATTGAGCCTCCTCCTGCTGCTACAGTATTTATATCCAGCTGCATATCAACATAAGAAATATTTATCATTTTCAAAATTTTTGTAAAATAATAATACGTTTGAAAGAAATACCTGAGGTGCTTGAATAGTAACACCAGCTGTAGTGCTTTCATATACATGTTCGTAGGTACCACCATAGCGACTAACATCAGTAGATGTACCACCCATATCAAAGCCAATAATAGGCAATGTGGTTTCTCTATGATACGTAGTCATTGCATAACCAACAACACCACCGGCTGGCCCTGATAATATAGCTCGAGAACCATTGAATCTTTGGGAAAGTGCAATTTTTTTTTCATAAAAGTTATGTTATTTTTAAATAATATGTACCATGGGATCGTAATCCTTTTAAAAAACGTTGATCCTACTTACGAATTCATTGGTGTAAGGCCGCCATCGCTCTGCATAAAAAGTACATTCACACCAGCTAAATTATTTTTAAACCCAGAGGAGAAGCTCTAAAAGTAAATAACAAATTTTTTAATATCACCAGCTATTAAAATTGACAACTTAATTTGGAACTAGCTCAACCTGTAGATAAGTTTTAATATGAGGCGTTAAATATGCATCTGCTGCTACTGTGAACCCTCTTGGAACAATTCTAGTCATTGGCATCACTTCATGAGATAGAGAAACTTGAGAGAATCCCATCTCTTTAGCAATTTCACCTACTCGGCGCTCATGTTCGGTGTATCTAGAATAAGCAGTTTACCGACAATTAGCAATTAACAACAAATATACTATCTATTTACAAGTAGGAAAATCTGGAGCAAAATAGACTTATTCATTAATTATTTGAATGATAATAAGATAATATATATCATACACAAGAAATATTTTATATCAAACATTGAAAATGATTCTGCTAAAAAATTGCGTCTGATGTTCTTACTTTATATCGTGGTAATTTTATAGGTATTTTATACAACATACGTATAGCTGTGAAGTAAAACAACAGCCAAACTCTCGATTCCACTTTCCTGTAGAAACTTTAAGTTGTTTCTCAAAGTTTCCTCATCAAGTTCTTGAGTAACGAATAAATCTTCTCCGGTCAAACCTTTTACTTTTCTCCACCTTGAACTGCCAAGAGAACATTTTCCTGATAAAGCTGGTATTACTCGACACTTAACTTCTACTACTTTGGAATAAAGAACAGATGGTGTTACAACTTCCAAGTCAAAAATATTTGGACGTGCTTGATTTCCAATGTAAAGTAAATCTTTGAATCCTTCGTTGATCAGTAAAGCCATTTTAGCACCTTTTCTTTCAAGCAATGCATTTGTTGCGACTGTCGTTCCCATTCGAATCCAAGCAATTTTTGAAGTATCTACTTCATCTTTCATGGAACATCCTGTTTCCTAAATAGAAAATAGACTTTAATGTTTCAATCCGCTTCATAATTGTTAAAATTCAATATCATTAAATTCAATCGATATGCTCATTTCTGGTCTCTCATGAAAAGTTGATTGTTGTTGTTTGAGCTTGTGTATAAAATAGTTATTTTCAAAGTTATATTAACTTTTTAAAGTCACTTTTGTTTGTCACTATGAAATGTACAAAATAATAATTCACTTCCATAAAGTAATATATGGCCTATTAACTTTCTAAAATACTTTGAAAACTTTCACATTCTAAATAAAAAATTATATATATATATAATTCTAAAAGTCATAATAAAAAATGTTAAGATCTGAATAAAGGTGTTATAGCTTACCTGCTCTAAAATTCTTTTTATTCCTTCTCTTGGAGCATCATCGTAATTCGCAGGATCAACAGATAACAATTTCATAACTCGGATTTTACCACCAGGACATTGAGCATAAATATCCGTAAAAGTACCACCACGATCTATTGCGAAGCCAAATTTATCGTTTATGATTGTCATTATGGTGATATTTACGTTGACGCACTATTCTGAATTTAAACAGAATTTATCGTCGTTATTTAACTGCATCTAATAAAAGTGTCGACAAAAATTTTAAAAATAAAATAAAATTGTCAGATGAAATTAAAATATTAAGGGATAAAAAATGAATTTTTATTCCGTAGGTAATGCATTATTATATTGTATGAGCATTTTTTAACTGATGGATTGAAACAAGTTAAATGCAACAAGTGTCATGATTTATGTTGTACATATTTCACATTGAGTCTACCATTATTAACATATACATATTAAGATATTTTCATTCTCATTCAAGTCATAAATTGTCAGAGTTATATAATAATAAATTAAAACATTATAATGTAAATTCAAATATGTAGTGGTATCATTTTTTAAAAGATCTTTATCAGCTCTAGTTAAAATCACATGACAACAGATATCTATATCACTGATTGTTGATAAGCTCGGTGTAGTGATTGTTTGTAATATCTGATTGTTATATCATAATAATTTGCGCATAAATTTTTTTCCTATGATTTGATATAAGTTATTGTTTATATTCGAAATTTTACTGATTTTTTTTTGAAATTAATGAACTTTAATCGTCTATAATATTGGATGTATAATTACCAAGTATTATCAACTATTCAATTAAGTAATAAAAAGATCACAAAAATTTAGAAATCAACTCTTTTAAATGAACTCATGAAATAATAACCTCTCATACGTCTGAACGAGCGCACGAGTTAACACTAACTGTCACATTTAGAACGTTTAGGAATCATTGATGTGAAAGTGGTGCTTAAGATGATATCAAAACGTGAAGAGAACAGATTAACCCTGTTTCATTTTATTTCCTATTAAAACTATTATAAATAAATTACAAAATCATTACAGAGAACAAAATATTGAAGAACTTTTATTATTTAATATTGTTTGCCACGAAGTAAGTAATTTATTTATCAAACATTGATCAATGTTGAATAGAAGAATTTAATGAGAAACACTGGCACTCTGCGAGTGCGCAACTAATTTGTTATCAATTATTCTTTTGGAGTTTTTTCTTTAAAGTTTGAATATAAGGGTAATTCTTGAAATATAAATAACAAAACTGGTAACAAATTTTTTTATTAAATAAAATATACTTATCCACCATATGGCCTCCACTCATTCATTATTAAATTTTACAGTAATATTACATAAAGCTTTTATTTTATAAAGCTACCATTATTAATATACCATAAATATTTTTCATTATTATATTTATGAACATTTGAATAGTATAAAAAAATATTAAACTATTTTTTTACTTTATTACTATCAATAGGGAATAGTCACAGACCTGAAATGAGTCTTTTGTGGAATTATCTGAGTATTATGTAGATATCATTTATGTAAATTTATATATTTATGTATATATAACGTTTTTTTTTTGGAACGAAATAAAAAATATAAAATTCTTAACGAGTTTGAGCTGAGAAATTTAAAATAAATTTTTATCACATTTTTATACGATATTTTATGTCTTTTTTTCATTTATTGTAGTCTGAATGTGCATTTAGCTTTGTTAACTTTTTAAATATCATCTTAGTAAGAATTTTGCTCATTCTCAGATTAAAAAATACATCTATTTAAACTCGAAGTTTTTCTGATAATAAATCTTGATACAATTGCTCGGTAAATCTCTCGTAGTTTCCAGATTTATTTAAGAAGTATACTGGATCTTTAATCTAAGAAAAAATTTCAAGCATAAAGTTATATTTATCAAATTGTAAGTTATGGAAATTTTTAGATCATTTTTTTAGCTCATTAATTTACTTACCTGTGTTATATCATATCCTTCTTTTTGAAGATCACGTTTCTGTAGTTTAAATGTACCTAAATGTAAATAATTGATAAATTAAAATTCTATTACTTGTTCCAGTTAGAAATATTAATGATCTTATCACTCACCTGTAAGAGGTAATTCTGATAAGACTCTGACAAAAATCGGTCGTGCATATAGTGGTAAATTTTTCTTTAATCCTTCTTCGAGCTCTTTAATATTCAATGAACCTTCAGGATCATAAATAGCTGCCATACCTGCTTTGCCTTCATTTCCAACAACCTTTTATCAAAAAATTAAAGGATAATTAATTTCAGAAAAGGAAGAGTTTTTCGTTTTAAAGTTTTCAAATTAAATTTTGAAGCATACTTCTACTCCATAAACCACTGCATCCTTCAAATTTACTACATTACTAATAACAGCTTCTATTTCTGTAGTTGAAACATTTTCTCCTTTCCACCTATTACATCAATTATAACATAATGAAATATTTGAAAAAGATTTCTTCAATTTAAATTTCTAACAATATTTACCGAAATGTGTCTCCTCGTCGATCTTTGAAATAAAAATATCCAAACTCATCCATGACTAAAATATCACCTGAATTGAAAACTCGGTCTCCTTTTTTTAAAACATCATGAATAATTTTCTTTTCTGTCTCTCGCTTGTCAGCATAGCCATTAAAATCATGTACTGCTTTCTTTGGATTTATTTTACCCACAAATATTCCAGGCTCACCTAGAAATATCCATACATACGGTAAAGATTAGAAAATAAATATTTCATATTATTTTTGAGCATTAATAAAAGTGAACCCTTGTTAATTTTTTATTCTCACCAGGCTTGCAACGAATACATAATCCGTCAGGTCCCCTAACAGGCTCCCCCGTTTCTTCATCAATTTTTATTAAAACTACAGGATATATGGGCCCAGCGAATAATGGCAGAAAACCAACAGCACCAACTTTTCCGTCAATATTGACTTGAAAAAAAATTAAAAACAAGTTTTTATATATTATAACACAAATACTTAATTATATCACTAAATTAAATTTTCTTACCAAGATTAGAATTTCCTTCTGTAGCACCATAAAATTCTCCTATTTGTTTGACTTTGAATCGCTTAGTAAATGTTTCCCAAATTTGCGGGCGTAATCCATTTCCAAACATTAATCTAACTTTATGTTTAGTATCATTAGGACTCGGCGGAACTGATAGTAAAAAGCGGCAAATCTCACCAATATATTGTGCTATCTAGATTCCAATAAAAAAATAGATCATTAATTAATTTTTTACATTCATTGAAAACATAGCCTGTAAAATGATACTACTTTAATTTGAAATAAAAAATGCTAATAAAAATTAAAAAGTATTGAAATTTATAAAAAAAATTGTCAGTTTTAAACTTTCAATAAAGATGATTATAACTCTTAAAACGTTAAAGTTTCCAATAAAAATCAAGATTCCAGAAAATGAAAAGTTCAAATGTGCGCTTTTGCGATATTTTAGAACTTAGAAATTCTTTAAAAAATTTTATCCCCAATTTGACAATATTGATAAGAAAGCAATTACAGTGCAGTCATGTCGAATACAGTCAGACCAAAAATTGGAAGCACTGAATTTTTTTCGAATAACAATGGTTATTCCATTGCAAATTGCTTGACCAGCACCTATAATTCCTCCTGCACTATGATAGAGAGGCAAAGAATTGTAAATTCGATCCGTTTGACGAAGGCCAAGCATACAGTAGACACCACAAGTCATCAACATGTATCTATATTTTAAATAATAGCACAATTAAAGCCTTCGTGGTCATGGTATTGAATGAAGGTATTGGATGTCAATTACATTACCTACCTCAGATTAGTGATAACTGCAGCCTTTGGCATTCCAGTAGTCCCGGATGTGTAAATGTAAATCAACTTATCCCTTGGGCATGCAAGCGACATGTCAACTATTATAGGATCGTCTGCAGTATTAGCTACAGAGCTGTTCAAATCCACTGCATCTTGCAAGACAGGTTTATTAGGATCTTCAGACCATTGGTACAAACTAAGATCAGAAACTGTATTTCTAATCTCTTCAATTGCTACAAGAATTTTAAAAGAATTATTAAGTTGATAATTTGTCTTAACAAACATTCTTTTTCTAGATCATTTACCTTCTTTGAACTCTCCTCCGAAAATGATTGCTTTTGATTCTGCTATTCTAATGCTATGAATCAAAGCATCTTTTCGTAAGTTAGTATTAATTAACGCCGTAACAAAACCAGCTTTACTAAGTGCTAGCCAGATTCCAATATATTCCGGCCGATTTCCCATAAGTAGAGCAATGCTATCACCGCGAGAATATGGTTGAGTACGCATAAATCGTGCAAATCTGTTGGTAAACTTATCTAGCTGTAAGAGTACTTGATATTATTAAAAAAAAATAAATGCAAATCACAAGTAAACTCGAAAATGAAAAATTATATTTTAGAAATTTAATTAATAATTTGTATATTTATGTTACATTCACCTTTTTGTAAGACCATTCTTGATCTTCAAAAATAATAACTATTTTATCAGGATGTGCTTCAACTTGACGAGTAAATAATTTTGCTACGGTGAAATCTCGTTTTTCCCAATACCATAGTAATATATTTACTTTTAGAAATCTTAATGATCCTCTGTAATGAAAATTAGCAATTAATTAATGAAAGTTATTATTATTGAACAATTATTTGGATTTCGTGAAAAACAAACATAAAATTAACTTGTTAATATAATTATACCTTTGAAAACATATAATAATAATGATTAATATATTATATATCTTATTTTTTGAAGAAAAATATTAATGTTAGTCATTAATTGTAATTTTATTTTAGCTAATATCAATTTTCTCGAATTGCGATCTTGAATATTCGAATAATGTCCCGGAATTGCATTACATTTCATTGAATAACTGAATCGACACCATTTACCATAATTGTTTAATACATGTAAAGTACAAAGGTAAACGAATCAAATTTCATTATCCCGGTAAATCGTATTTCGATTTACAATTATTTTATACCCCATGAATTAGATTCTGCATTAAACAATAAGTATTATTTTATAAAATTAATTAGTCCTAATTATCGTAAGTAAATAAAAGGTGCATCAGCTCTACAGATGCATCTCATGGTTGCTATAGATGACCTAGAATTTACCATAGGCTTGGTACTCTAGACAACTGGTACAGACCGCTTTCTTGTAAATAACCGTGGACTGAAAATAGTTTTTTATAAAAGAAGAAAATAATATAAGCCTACATAGATTTATTTTATTATTTCATATTCATATACTATTGCGTAGTAGGCTGAACTGCGATGTTATATCTGTGAGTCTTAAATGTTTTATACAACCAAGACAGTTGATATGATAATAAGTTTATTTTAACTCAAAGACACTCTAATCTATTTTAATGTTCCACACCACATAAGACCCTAAGAAGAAAGTTTACTAAACTCTTATTCCTTTTTTTGTACGTTTTTCAACATCATTTTAGTTGCTACTGGTGGAAATTCTTTTTATCAACATAACAAACAATAAACAGACTTATCGAGACGATAGATCAATCAAAATTATTGATAAAAACTTACATGATATCTCGAGGCAAAGTTCTGTAAAGGATATATAGTGTACGCCATCGACTTCCGGTTAACAGATAGGCAGCAATAAGAGCGATCACTGCTGAAGAGCCTATCTGATAAAGTCCCATCATCATGACTGTGGATATTTTCTTAAACTAAATAACTAACAATTGATACAACTTAATTGATCAAAATTTTTCAACAATTTCTATATGTACTGAAGTTGATATTTTTTGACAATATAATAATTAGTGATTAATTGGATAAAACTCAGATGAAGAGATGATTCAAACTGCGACGAACGCAGGCGAACGCTGCAACGCTGACTGAATGTAGAGAGAGTACATACATACAGAGGCACAATAACGAGCTATTAAGAGGCCATGGGCGTCGCGAAGATGAAATTCCCAAGCCATAAATGATAATATTTAATTTTCTTCTCTCTCTTTTTTACTTTTCCATTTAGATAAAGAGCTACAATAGTATAAATACACTCAATTTAAGAAAATTATCGTTTATTATATAAACTTACAAATATTTTTTTTTTATAAATAATAGTAATTTTTATCTACAGTACTTAACAACAAATAAAAATTTACATCACAGAAATAATATTTCAAAACTTGGATAAAAATTTCGTAAATATTACATGCTAAATATAAACAGTATTTCATGTTATCAATAAACAATACAATAATAAAAATTTTCAGTTTTTTTTTAAAAATATAAAGATAAAAATATATCCTGTATTAATTAAACATTATTTAATACTTTATACATTTGTTTACAAATATGTATAAGACTGGAATCAATATTTTGCTATCTGATGATTATTGTGTAAAATAAGGTACTGAATTTCTCAATTAACTGTTCAGTCAAGAATACTTCACAATGATAGGCACTGAAAATTACAAAAAATACATTCAGTATTAACAGAACATTTATTCTTTCAATTAAGATATTTGAGCATTTATTATTACTACTTAAAGGAATAATCATTTTGTTTATTCTTTATTTTTAAATAAAGTTAGAGCGTGATGAACATTTAAATTGAAATATATTCTTGTGAAGACATGAAATTCGTTTTAAATAAATAATTATGAATAGTTAATATGATATTTACTGCAGTAAAAAAATTTATTTATAATGTTATGAACATTGAGAAAGATATTTAAATGTTAATCAAATTAAATGGCAAAGAGCAACAGATAAGGTTTATATTTTTCGCAATTATTCTATATAATGAAATAAATTATATTAAAACAAGGGGTTATATAATAAATAAACAATTATAAGCAGCGATATCAGTAAAAATAATGACAAAGCATTCAATGCTACTGATAAGGACTCAAATACCTTAATTTTGTATAACAATTTGGCAGAATAAGACGATAATTATTTGACAACCAGATAAAGCACCACAATATCTAAAACTGAAAATGATATACAAATTCTAGCTGTATGAAAATCATGATCGTTACTTCAAAGATTTTACTCTTCATCAAAATAAAAATGATATTAGAATGATTTGATGGATATTATTTGAAAAAACGATTATAAAGTGAAATAATTATGCAATGATTGGACAAATTTTGAATAATAACTAACTAATAAATAAAGAATATTCAATTGAACTTACCTATGATGCATAAAATAATTATGATGGTAATTCCTACGACGAGTGCCCTTGATTTAATATTTTGGATCCAAGCTCTTCGTTGTGCTTTTTTAGCAGCATCACGAAATTCATTTCCAGCAATATTTAATCTATCACTAGCCATTTGTAAATCTTCTAGTCGTTCTCCTCTTTCTAGTACTCTTTGTACATTATCACGCATAACTTCAGTCACTTCACGTATTTGTACTTTTACACTGAAAATAATTTTGGAAGTTTATACTTTACTATACCACAAATTGATGATGTTTTCGACATTTTTTAATTAATAACCATATAAAAATTCAATACATACCTATCAATCTTTCTGTGTACTTCAACATCATCTGAGGACACACTAGAGCGACTGAAATTTTGAAATAAATTTTAATTTTATAAAATAAGACATGATCTTCTTCAAAATAAATAGTGACTCTAATACTTACTTAAATATCATATCTTCATCTGGATCACTATCATGTTCTAGCAATGTTTCCTGTAATAAATTTTACAAATTAATATCAATAGTTTCAATAGTAGTGATAGTTTTATCGTAGAAAATACTATATTTTATAAAATTTTATTGACGTTACCCTTTCATCAGGATTTGCACTTCGTACATCAGAACTTGTAACTGTGGATCTGTTGAAACTTGCCATATTGAGTAATTACTTTGAACTTGATAGAAATTACTAATTAGTACTTATCAAATCAATATTTATTTTTAATGTATATTATTATACATAGAAAATAAACTTTCGAATTTATTATTGACTTTAATTTTTAGAAAAACGACACATATGAACACACGTACTCGAATAGAAAAAACTTAAAAAAAAATTAATTCCAGAAATTCTACTCACACATCAGATAAAACTAATAACAAGTATCAAACAAAACTGTACATCATAAAAATAATAAGTACATGATTAATGACTGCAAAAAATAGAAAAAATTAATCATCTTTATTTTGATTAATCAGTAGACAAGTTTTCACTACAAAATATAATAATTAACACAGTGTTGGAATTCATCGATGAATATTTTTGTTGGCTCTATTTTTGGCCAGCTGGACTATATGTATAGAAAACGAACTATAGCATATCCTTCAGCTGGCTGAATGTATACTATAGAATTCCCGCTCCATCTTTTCTATGATGAAAATGCGTAGCTTGTCTGATATTTGAAGAAGTAGGGGCATCATTTCTTTGATTCAGTCCACTTTTAGACAGTGTAAAACTTTTGGAAATGGAAATAAAATAATTCTTTTGGACGTAATTTACATTTATCCAATTTTTCCTAGTGTTTTATATATATAAATAACCTTCACACGCATATACATTGCTTGTAAATAAATTTTTATCGTTGTGTATATACGTAATCCAGATATTAGCAATCTAGGATCTAGTGTGTACAATATTTACAAAGATCACTGTTAACAAAAGAAATCTCATGTTTCGTGATATATTAGTGAACAGTTCGGGTCATGGCTTATGTCAATGTTGCAGAATGGAAGACAGAACAAGTTTGTGAATGGTTAAAAGGTATTTTATAACAAATAATCATTACATTTACTACTGATTCTATTATAATTAAAAATATGATATCATTATTCAGGGCGTGACAAGCCCAGTATTAAGCAATGTAGAATTATTCAATATTACGCACTTTAAAAACTGGGTATAATGAGTTGATATAATAATTTGAATCAATGAATCAAGTAATATAATAAATACAGAATTAATTCAATTCTTGAAAATTTAATAATAAACGGAGTTTGTTCATTGCTCCAAAATATCTATTTAAAGAATAAGGAATATATTCATCGATATGAATGATTAACAAAGATAAAATTTGTATTTTTTTCAGGACTCGACAATTCAGTGCTTCCATACGTTCACAGTTTTACAAATAATCGAGTCAATGGACAACAATTACTCAGTTTGCGACCAGAAGACTTAGAACAACTAGGAGTGCTCAAATTAGGACACCAAGAAATAATTATTGAAGCTGTAGAATATTTAAGAAATTTTCATTATGAGTTGGATCGTGAAAATTTACAATTACTGGCATTACGGCTTTCTTGTCAAGCTCACAGTTTACACAATGAATTGTGTAGACAAACTGGCTCTAAACCTCTTTCAACTCAAGCATTATCCGACGTAGTTGCTGTAATGTCAGCTGTTAAACCATTAGTACGTTGGCTTGACCGACCACCTTTTAGTGGACAATTGGAATACAATGATAAAAGAAACGAATTATTAAAATTATCAATTGAAATAGCGACTTGTGCTCAAAGAGAAAGATTTGCAGTAAAACCTATTGAAGCAATAAGAAATTCATGTGGTCAATTAGCTAAACTTGCTGATTATATTATTCAAGATATATCTGATCCTATGATTTTACAACCTTCTAGTTTAGATTTGGCAACGTTAAAAAAAAGACCCGGAGATGAATTGGGTTTTTATATTTTACCATCATTTCATGGCTCTCATCAAATTACTGATATCAAATTCAGCTCTGCCGCACATCAATGTGGTAAAATGGAAGATAGTGACGAAATAGTACAAGTTAATTATCAAACTGTTGTAGGATGGGAAAGAAAAAATGTTTTAGAATTATTCAACGAATGCCCTTCAGAAATTTTATTAACATTAAAACGACGTCCAAAGCATACAAAAGTATTTGGCCAAATTTATATCAAACCATATCGATTGCCTAGTAATAAAAAAACTCCATACACAACAAGATGGCAACACAATCTTCCATCGCCAAGACCTGAATTACTTACCATACCAGATTTTACTATACCACTACCAAGGTATTACATATTTTTGTAAAATTTTTATTTTCTTATCATAATCTATTTATTAATCATGTTTAAACATATTCTTCACAGACATACGCCTAAAGATCCTAGCCCTGAGCCGTCAAGTATTATAGATACTGTCAATATGTTGAATACAATGGTTACAGATAGTAGTGGATCAGATAGTGAATCTGAACCAAATTTATCAGAACGCCTGTATGCACCCAAACCTCGTAATTTAGTTCAAAGACGAGCAACAATAACAGGAGCAAGTCCAACTACCAAACATGCTGTTGATATTGAGTTACTTTGGAAAGAGTTAAAACAAGAACATAATACAACGTTTCAGTTGCGTGATAAAGCAGCTTCCTGTGCCCACGGTTTGGATAATGTGCCGTCAAGTATACGTCCTCAAACGTGTTTGGGCATTGAACCGAGTAAACGTAGAAAAAAAACTGATGAGCCAGTAGAAGAAAAAAAAGTGCAGTTTAATGAAAAATTGAACCAAATTAAAACGAATTCATTACCAAGTGGATTAATTGAAGATGAAGTCAATCAAGTGGTCTCAAATGGTAATGTAGAGGTTCAAAAATGTATTAAAAGTGATACGGCATTAAGCGTACAAAGCAATAATAATGATGACAATGATAATAATAATAATGGTGATATAGAAGTGCCTTCTACAATATGTAAAAAAATAAGTAACACCAATAATCATAGTAGTTCTGATAATGTGTGTGAATCAGCTGTGGTAAATCAGAGTTCGCATACCGATTGTGAACTAACTAATATATCTTCTACTAACATTGTTAATTCTCATTTAAATAATGTTAATAATAATTCTGAATTAATGGATGAATCAAAACACGCTTTAAATTTTTGTAGTATTATTACTATTAACAAGACTGATAATGATGTTATTACGGATGATGATATTAAAAAAGAAATCATTAACACTGCTGATAATAATAATTTAAAGGATATGGATGTTGATTATGAAGCAAATTTAATAAGCAATCTTGAAGGAATAACAAATGAAAATATTTATGAAACAGAGGAAGAAACTGGAATGGATTTTTCGGAAATGACAAAATCTTCAAGTATTATATCAGATAATAAAATGTTTAATACTTTAGATTATAAAATTGACGATAAACAAGAATCTACTGAAATAATAAGCAATCATAATATAAATAACAATATTAATACTATCAATGATGATTTTAATTCAAAATGTAATATAAATGGTAACGTAATTGAATCATTATTAGATTCTAAAAATTGTGTCTTAAATCGAGAAAGCAGTGAAGACAAATCTGAATCAACTAGTAGTTATTTAGAAAGTATTTATAGTAGTAGCAGTAGTAGTGAAGTTAATACTTTATTAAAAATTGAAAAAATTCAAGATTCTATATTGCCGAAATTAAATGAGACAAATATTTCAAAAAATCCAAAGGATGATTCAGATAAATGTACAAATATGCAAGTGCCTTTAGATCATTCATCGCCGTTAAAGTTAGATAATATTGGTAAAGCATTAACTATAAAAGATGAAGGTCCACGGATTGTTGAAAGAAATACACCAACTAAAGTTAAGCAGACACCACCAGAACCACCACCACGAAAATATTTCACCAGACCTGCACCATTAAGTGTTTGTTCTAGTAGTAATTCTGATATGGAATATCAAGAAAAGCCTAAAATTCCAGATAGATCAGACATTCGGAAGAAAGAAAAATATAACGAAAGATTTTTTAATTATGAATCGATTTCAAATTTTCAAGAAAGTGACAGTTATGATATTTTTCATAATCCGAAAACATCCAGGGATACAATTAATGGATCAACGTCATCAATGAGTGATCATGTATCCTTAGAACACATTGACCATTTAAGATTACCAAGAATGAGTGAAAAAAAAATTCATGACGATAAATCTAATTATGACAAATATCAATTATTTACTGAAAAATTTGGAGGATCAATTAATTCTACTAGCCCTATTACACAAAGCTCATCGCAAGAATTTTTTTCAAGGCCTGTAGACTCACCTGATGGATCAGGATTTTCGCGTCAATCACAAACTACTCCAGAGTTGAAGCCTCGTACTCTTGATAAAGACAAAAATTATGATAAAGGAGTTGTTAATAGAGCAATGATGGTAGCTAGAAGTATTGGTTTACATAGTAGCTCCAAGCTTTCATCTGGTAGTCCTAAAAGTAGTCGTAAACGTAATATGTTACTAGCAAGAAGAAGAAATGTTTCAGTAAAAGATATAGCTCCCGGTGATTTAGAAGGATGGTTGACTTATAGAAGTAGAGGTGCTGGTGGTGCATGGGCTCGATCTTGGTTTATTCTCAAAGGATCATCATTATATCGATTCAAAAATCAAGAAAGTACCAAATCTGATTGTCTTATAGTGTTACCAGGATTTACAGCATCTCAAGCATCAGAAGTTAAATCACGCAAATATGCATTCAAAGTTTACCACACTGGAACGGTATTTTATTTTGCAGCTGATGCAGAAGATACATTAACACATTGGTTAGACTCGATAAATAAAGCAACTTTTGGAGTAGATAGCCATAACCGTACAAGTGGACTTTTTAGTGAAACTGATGAAAGCGATACTGAAACTAAAGTCAAGGTTAAAAGTGCATCAACTTTGGATTGTAAAAATACATTTGACAAAACATTCGGATCATTAAAAAAAGTTGGAAGAAAAGATTCAAGTGGAAAAAGTCATGAGAGTAGTGGTGCAAGTTTAGATCGAAAATATTTAAAATTTTTAGGTTCTCGTACACATAATGTACCTGTTCCAACAGCACAATTTCGAAGTTATAGAAGAGTATTACCATCATCAACTTCAAATAAGTAAGCTTTTACATTTAATCAGTATATAAATAAATTGGTACAATTTTTTTTATGTATCAATTTTTTAGGAAACCAGAAACACCAAAAAACTCTCAAGATGTTCGAGCTAATACAGCAGGAAGCTCATTTTTCAGTTTATCATCATCAAAAAGTGCTATGGATGTACCAAACACTAGTCAGGATATGGGTGACTACCGTCAAACCACAGACAGGTAAACGATTTTTACTCCAATACTTATAATTTTCATAGTACTTATGAAAATTTAATATTGCATGTAAAATTAATATTTCTAATGTAAAAGTAATGTAAATTATCTTTCTAATAAAATAGTTTTCTAAATTAATTTTTCTTTTATTTTATTTTCAACTTTTTGTGCATGTTTTTTTTGTTATTTTCTGGTTAAACATTTAAATATTCACTGCAAGTCAATTATTACCTTCTAAATGTTAATACTATATTTATATCGGTAAGTAATTTATAAAATTATGAAATACTTTGAATAAACATTATCAAAAATTTTATTTCTGATCCATTTTTACAGGTTGCTGATTAATCGTAATCGTCGACCAGACGATCTTCGTGGATTTGTAACTTTGGAAGAATTTATGCTTTCTCATCAAAGTGAAAATCAACGTATGTTGAACAACAATGGCTCGACTTCATCACCTACTGCATCATCAAGTCACGATCATTTTAATTATCAGCATAGAAGCGTCGAAGACAATAATATTATTTATGGACAAAGTAGTAGTTTTAAAAATGGGTCTGTCAGTAACGGTATGATTTACGGGCACCCAAGAAATGGAGAAGAGTTACCGATTAATACTAACAGGACTGCTTATGATTATCATCCACGTAATTTAGAGGATAGATCAATAAATGAAAATCAAGTAAATAGTCCCCATGAGCAAAGGGTAGATTATAATTCAGCTGTTGACAAGGCTAATGAATTTAGTGGACAGCCATCTCCGGTACCGAGAATGATCATTGATTCTACAAATAAACTCATAAAAAGAATTCATGACAATGCAAGTTATTATCCAGAAGTAGCAAAAGAGGATAAATTCAGTTTATTAGACAGTACAGGATCACACAGAACTCGTACTAATACAAATGATTCTTATCACTCTCGAAATGAATTTACAATTGATAATAGCTTTCGGAGTTCAAAATTTTTAAGAGATTCTAATAGGAATGATTTAGCAGGTGTTACACAACCACCACTAAGACGATATGTAAAAGATAATGGTTATTCAGGGTCTAGTGGCGATTTGAGCTGCTGTACATCATCAGAAACACTTCAGCGTGCAAAAAAAGAAGCTTCCGTTAGTAGAAAAGCAAGTTTCAATCTTAATGATCGACGATGTAGTTACTTTCCACCTGAGAGACATTGGATGGATTCACTGAGACGATCGGATAAGAAATCAAGTTCGAGTGAAATATCTCGACTAAAAAATGTGGCACAATACCAGCCACCACCTATTCCATCTTCACCATTTGATCAAGAAGGTTCTATGCGAGCGGCATTTGAAATGCATCTTGATAAAAGTGAAAATGTACAAAAAACCAGTAGATTAAAGAGTTTTTTCGGCAGCAAAAGTCCTCAAAAATCAACATCTGATTCTTCCAGAGAAACTCAGAAAACGCTTTTAGGTTCCCCCAGACTTCACAGGGCATTATTCCGTGATAAAAATACCAACCAACGTTCCAAAGCAGTTGGCCAATGTTCTAATGATAATTCAATTAACCAACCGTCCAATTCTTATAATAAATCTAATCAAAGCTTCAGTTCAACTAATGACTGGAATCGTCATTTACCAGTCACCAGCAATATTCAAGAGGTAATATATTTACTTCAGTATTTAAATCTTTTTTATTTTATTTATAGTTGTTCAATAATTATTTCTATTTTCAGTGTACCCAAACGTATGAGATGTGTCAGAAGAAATCTTCACACATAAATGCCAATTTATTAATGCCACCGACTCTGCCATATATTCCTCCACCTACCTCACCACCACCAGATGATTATCCAGGTTTAGAATATCCGCCGGTATTTGAACCCGGTACATATTCTTTGTCAGACGCGTCTCTTCTCCGAAATCGAAGTAAAAAAAATCAAAGAGACAGTTCTGAATAAATCAACGTAGTAATAAAATAAACAATTAGATTTTCGCTACATGATGAAGAGCATATTAGAATTACATTGTGATTTGATACGGCAATAATATAAATTATATCGACATTAAGTTCATAAAAAGATATAAATAATAATTTTGAAACATGCTTGAAAAACATATTAGAAACTAAATTATCAAAACTGCATATTTTTTTTACTAAAAATTTATGATTGATAAAAAATAAGGCAAACCGTCCTATTAGTTTTCTAATATGAAAAATGATAAAAATATAATTGCAACTCATCATTATGTGAAAATATATGCACGGATTCATATAATATTAGAGAGTATCGTACAATATTTTAAATTAAACATTTTAGGTAAATATTTACGATATTATTATTGTGGCCTTATGTTATTTATACTAATTTCATAAAATAACATGAATTACTTTATACAAGTGCCTGGATTTTTACTGATATACATATTTTGAAAAATGTTAGATAATCAATTTTTTAATGAAGTTTTTGTAGGTACTTTGACCGTATATTTAGTTTTTTTTTTTGTAAATTTAATTTTGTTCATTTGTAAATAGAATAAATTGACTACTAAAAGTCAACTAAATTTTTTGTTGTATTATTTAAAAAGTATTTTAATTAAGCATTTTTATTTGTGTAAAATGGAAAAATATACTACAGTAATTTAAATAAAAGTTTTAGCAATGATTATTACCGCCATTTTTTAAGCGAAAATGATACATATTTTCTACGTTATCAATCTCAGATAACTTACCAACTGTCGAACGGAAAAAAATGTAGAGCGGTCACATCTATATGCAACATATGGCTTCGCCACTCCATTAAACCGTTATTGCGATTGTAATTCGAAAATTGTGCAAAAAAATGAATGTGTAATTTGATTAAACTGAAGGTAAATTTTCATACATTTTTAAAATTTGTTAAATATAACTAAACCGGGTTTTAATTTTTCAGAATGATTGCCGAATAAGTTGGATCATAATGAAACCGACGTACTATCTATTCTGCTAATGATTCTAACCTCAATAAGTGTACGATTTTGTGGAGTAAATTTTTTTCAAGAAAACGTTGACTGAAAAACTTGATATCAGTGTTGTTTAGTACGAAGAAATAATATATTATAAATAATCGAGAGAAAAATAAATCGAAAATGGCACCAACAATTCAAACAAATGGTACTGCTAATGACAGAGAAAAAAGACCTGTAAGACCTGCAGAAAAAAGATCAGAATTGATTTGTCGTGTAAAATATTGTAATACTTTACCAGATATTCCATTCGACCCTAAATTTATTACTTATCCTTTTGAATCTTCAAGGTAATTTTTATTTCTATAATACTCGTACAAAATAAAAGTAAATTAATGTCGTTTTATTTTATTAAAATAGTACTTTCTTCAAATTTCAGATTTATTCAATATAATCCCACATCTTTGGAGCGTAATTATAAATATGAAGTTCTTACCGAACATGATTTGGGTGTTGAAATAGATTTAATAAATCGTGATACATACGCAGGCGATCCAAATGCTCAACTTGATCCGGCAGATGAAAAATTACTTGAAGAGGACATTCTTACTCCTCAAGACTCAAAAAGATCTCGACACCATGCAAGAAGTGTATCTTGGTTGCGGCGCACTGAGTATATTTCTACAGAACAAACTAGATTTCAACCTCAAACAATGGATAAAGTTGAAGCAAAAGTTGGTTATAGTATCAAGAAAAGTTTCAAAGAAGAAACGCTTTACATGGATCGTGAAAGTCAGATAAAAGCTATTGAGAAGACTTTTGAAGATAATAAGAAATCTATTGAAAAACATTACAGTAAAGCAAATGTTGTTCCTGTTGAAATTCTTCCAGTATTTCCTGATTTTAAGTTGTGGAAGTATCCATGTGCTCAAGTCATTTTTGATTCAGATCCTGCTCCATCAGGACGTTCTGTTCCAGCTCAAATAGAAGAAATGTCACAGGCAATGATCAGAGGTGTGATGGATGAAAGTGGAGAACAATTCGTAGCTTACTTCTTACCACTTGAAGAAACTTTAGAAAAAAGAAGAAGAGATTTCGTTGCAGGAATTGATTACGCTGATGAAGAAGAATATGAATATAAAATGGCGAGAGAGTACAATTGGAATGTAAAAAGTAAGGCTTCGAAAGGCTATGAAGAAAATTATTTCTTGGTTATGAGAGATGATGGAGTATATTACAACGAGCTAGAAACCCGAGTAAGATTGAGCAAGCGTCGTCAAAAAGTTGGACAACCAGCTAATAATACAAGACTTGTTGTACGACATAGACCATTGAATGCCAGTGAATTCAAAATGCAAAGATATAGAGAAAAACAATTAGAACCTCCTAATGAAGATGATGAAGAAGAAGAGGAGGAAGAGGAAGAAGAAGAAGAACGAGAAAATTCTGAAAGCAAACGAAATAATGACAATGATGAAAGTGATAATGAAGAAGTTGGAACACGACCTTCGTCAAGAGCTTCTTCAGCAGCTTCGAGTGACAAATCTCGACAGTCTCATTCTCCTTCCAAGTCCAGATCTCAATCACGATCGAGATCGCGTTCACACTCACCTTCAAAATCAAGATCACAATCCAGAAGTCCAGCAAGATCAAATCGATCAAAGTCGCGTTCAGGATCTCCAGAATCAAGGAGCCGATCAAAATCACCCTCAAAATCTCGTTCTGCTTCGAGATCACGTTCTCCATCACCAGCTGGATCTCACTCTCGCTCATCATCTGCATCTAGATCGCGCTCTAGGTCTAAATCAAAGAGTAAGTCACCCTCGAGATCTAGATCTCAAAGCGCGAGTGAAAGTGGTAGCGGTAGTGCTAGCAGTGGAAGTGGATCTGAGAGCGAATGAGCTTAATAAATACTCTCTAGTATTGATTTCGAAAATCGGTAAGGATCAAGCTTTTGTATGTTTGTATAGAAGAATTTTCATTACTTATAAAATCAAATTAGATATTATTTATTATCTATGTACATATATAAACATCGCTCATAATGTTAAAAATAAAATTAATGAAGAATTAACAAAATGAATCATCTTCATTTATTTAACATAAGAATATTATAGAATATACTAGTATCAGCTGTGGAATTTTTCCACAAGCTTTACTACTAAACCCATAGTGGATATGTGCAGAAATCAGCGTTGATAATGTTGTTATCAATTTTATTTATATATGATTTAAATGAATCCAACTAAATAATCCAACTAATTTTTAAAAGATGGAAGGATAATAGTTTTATGCTTATGCATGGAGAATAAAAAATCAACATAATATTCAGCAATTAGAGATTGAGGGATTTAAACATATTTTTATGAATATGAACAAAAAAAAGATGGATTGAATGCAGAATAAAACAATTTTTAGACTCATCAAATTTAATATTTACTTTTAAATATTTTTCAATTTTTTGAGACGTTGAAAGCAATTCAGTTCAGACAAAAATATCTTGTGTATAAATCAACATGTTCTTATAACACCTACATCACAAAGTAGTGTTAGCCGAAAGGCAGTACAAGGCTTTTTACTCATACGATATCCGTTCTGCTGTATCTTTCTTTGAATTATTGAGATCGAAATTATTAATTTTTCAACAAGTTCTCGCACGTGTGACTCGTGGGTGCGCAGCATTAAGTCCGTAGAGATATAGGCGGCAAACTGAGTATATCGGTAAAGCCTTTATAATTCAGTGTGTTTTTAAGACACCTACGTTTTCGCAGCGGTATATGCGAAATAGAGAGATGAATACATACCTAACCGTAAGACATCTCTTTTTGCATGTTAAGAATTCACGCGCTCGCTCAGCCGCATCGCCGCTCTTGCAGATCCTTAAATTACTCCATTATAAACGTAAATCAAATTCATCTTCCTGTCGATTTTCAGTCTTAAAAGTTTAATATGAATATTCCATTAATTCATTAATGATATTTTCAATCCAATTAAAAGCATAATTGTCCATCTTATTTTTAACTAAGTAATTAGAAGATAAAGTTCAATACATTATTTTTTTTTTTTATTCCATTAAAAATGATAAAAATAGTATCTTGTATTTAGCTATGATCAATACCATTAATTGGATAATAATACTTTTTATTTGTGATAGATTTTTTGATAAAAACGTATTCTGTGAAAAGAAGTAAAAATGAATTTCTATCAGACTTTTCTTCAATGCGTACGTGACGTTCAACAAGATGGAAAACGTGATTTTTGAAATCGATTCTCAAGTATTTTGGCTGGTGACTACATGTGCAAGTTAATGCTTCACTAGACATAGATAGATTTACTATAATACAGATGAATTGAACAACAACGCAATATTCAAGACAGTGATGGTTGGATGCAGAGGCGTGATAGACACAACAGCCTTAACTTGTCATATTTGTAAAGGAAAAATGATGAGATGATGTTGGATGTCTATTGACCGATGATTGCTAGGTATTTACAGAGGTATTACTATCTGTGGGGTAGCAGTGAAAGAGAAGAATCAGCGAAAAAATAAACGAGACTACGTGGACGTGAGCGTGACGGACGTAGATGTAAATTTCCCATCTCATCAGTAAGATTCCATACGACTTCAGATATTTTTCAACCTTCAATCGTATATAGAAACAATGACAATTGAATTGAATTAATAGTACGACTATCGTATTAATCACTTGTACATGCAAGGTTGTTTCCTTGATTTTACAATTTCCTCATTACGAATCCTCGAGATAGATCCGATAAAGAACGAGTGGGAACACGTACAGGCAATCAGAGATGGAAGAGAGAAGAGACATAGAGATGGGTATTCTCGCGCGCTTTGAGAGCATCGGGTCAACGACGTTCGATAAGCGAAGAGCTCCATTCGCTGGATACGCTTCGCCGCTAACCGAATAAATTGGCTTCCTATACAAGGAAAGTATAATTGAATGGTCGTATGTATACATATATAATAGTAGAGTGCCATACTTTGAAGCTTCAGGTATTATTGCGTGCACATGCATTGGCCCACGCACCATAGTAGTGCCTACGCAACTTCTTAGTATAATACATGCGTTAGTTACGTAAAAAGCCTTTCAAGTTTCAATCGAAAACTCTGTTTGCACAGAATTGAGTATTGAGCATAAAACTGAGATTGTATGTAAGTGCAACCTACACCCCCGTTTGCCTTTGTCCAACTTGCGATAATTGTCCAGCACAGTCCTGACTATTTTGCCATGATATTGGGTGTCGGGTTCTGCCACACCTCCACCCATTGTAAATCAATCGGCATGGCCGAGGTCGCGCTCTCAACCAAGATCAAAAGTCCCCTCGCTTCCTACTCTTCACACGTGGCGACTCTCACTTCCGTCAACACGACGGATATATCGTTCTTTGTCATCCGCTCACCATAAACCACCGGTCGATCGATCACCGTGCATTGTTAGGCCTTTTTCATCATTTTTCAATGGTCTCAAGACAAATGTTAATTTGAAATTTACATTTTGTTGAATAAAGTGTTGACATTCAGTGAATAGAATGAGAATGCGTATGCAACAGATGATGAATGTGAGAAAAATGCTGTCTTTCTGTGAAATAAATATCAACACTATCTGATTCAATTAATATTTATGCTTAAGATTTGTGCTTTGTCATTAAAAAATCAACATTTGATAATGATGGAAGTGTATTCTATGATTGATAATTAAAAAAACTTACAAACAACTACATATGAATTCTCTTTACGCTCTAAAATAGCAGTGAATATTCAAATGATGAATCGATTTCCTATAGAGAATATTTTTATTGATTCAGAGATATAGTGCAGTTGTGCAATTATTCAGATGATTGCTTGTGACGATTATAGGAAATATAGATCCGGTTAGATGGCGAATGAGGTATTTGGTGTAGCTGGCACATATATCTTGGATATCTATAACCCGCACATATCGTATACATATATGTGTATCCGTCAACTCCTCTTTCCATTTCGCTTGTTGGATAAAACCTTGCGCGTGTCTCTTCATGAATTGGTTATTGGTATTTGCCATTTGAGAAGAGCTTCAATGAAGAACGAGAGATGTATAGGACATATAGACTGCTGTCCAACTATTTTATACCTTCGGCCTGTGTGGGAAGTCTACGTCTGCTTCAATATATCGAGTATTGGTTGCTTTCCGTCAGAATTCTCAACTGTATTTTCTCTTTTTTCTTCGTCCACTATGTGCCTACACCAAGTTGTGCCAAGTCTCGCGATTTCTCTCTTTTTCCTCGTTTATTTCATCATTCATTCGATCACGAATTCGTTTTACCCTTTTTCACTTCTTCATTTTATACCTTCTCCTGCTACCATCCTAACTCTTTTTTTGTCTTTTACCTTTCTCCATTTTCTTCCATCTTCGTATTACTCAGCTTTCAATTAATTTCACTGGTTCGAGCCAAGGCATTTTCGCTATTCGAATTTTTCCTGATGATCACATGCTTTTTTTAACAGAATTTTTTTCTGTCCTCTTCCTCTTTAACTTTTGTAGAAAATAAAATTCAACTTGAATTCCAACAAGAGATAGCTTCGTTGGCTTGGTAAAAATCAATCATTACAGCTTGCACATTTATAGATAAAGTAATGTATATCTTTATCAATAAAAAATAGAGAATATAAAAGCATCATAACATGTATAGATACTTAGAGTGATCAAAGAAGATTCATATTTACAAAGCTGAAGAATAATTCAATGCTATTAAGCAGAACAGTTTTTTTCACTCAAGAAATTATATTTTTAATTATCGTTAGAAAAACAGAGAAGCTATTGAAAGGATTATTTATATAAAACAAATTGTTGTAAATATTTTGCTCTTTTTTCTTCTTACTACTCCATAAAAAAATCCTCAAAATTTATTGTCTATTGATATGCTAGTAGTAATGATAATGAATAAGTACCAAGTGATAGAATCAATCAGTTGTTATGAGAAAATCTCATTGAAACATTTACCACGTCATAATAATTAAATAAATATTTGAGTACAAGCAATTATGATGGTTAAACTTGGTGTGTCTCTTTCTCTTGATTTTCATAATAAAGGGGAAGGATTGTATACAGCATGAGCAAATATTATTTAATGAGCAAAATGAAAGGATGAGAAACACGTGTTACCTTGAATTTCTCCTGTAAGAAATAAGAGCACAAGTAGTGGCCTTCAAGTAGGGTCATAAGAACAGTAGTTTCTAAGAGAAGGCATTATATGGAAAATTTATAGCACTTTCTTCTAGTTCTGATGCCAAGAGAAAGGGAAGTGAACCTTCTCCTCCTCCCTCTGGTGGTTGTAACTAAGATAACAATGCTATATAAGCTCAACCCTTATGTCCACACTCTCATATGAGTAACCATCACCCTGCTACGTTAAAAGATATAGGGAGGTGGATTGTGCACAGTGTCTGTGGTATTTGAGGGTTGTGTTTGTGGTAACTATGCTGTTGAATTGCCTCTGTCTTGGACAGAGTTTATTCTAGTAACACAGTTTCTGTTGTTCAGAAACAAGTCTGTTTGGATCCATCTCGCTTGAGAGTAGGCGGTCCTGGTAGAAAGGATGCAGGGGTTGGAAATGGAATAGAAGAGGGTGAATGCACCAATAGGATAGATTTGCAGTAATAACCCTCGCACTCATGGCAATAGTTTTGCTGCACATTAAAATTATTTAAGAAAATAATATTATAGTCACTTGAGATTCATTCATATCATTTTCTGTTGTGCATAAATTTCAGATGTTTTATTTCAACTTATTTTCAGCTTCAGAGCTTTATTGCATCACAAACGCAGAGCTGACAGCTTAATGAACCTCATTATTGCTCCAAAAAAATAGGTGTCAACGAATTAATTTATGAAATGAAATTTTTATAACTGCTTCTATTTTTCGAGTTTTAATCATGACTTATTATGCAATTTAGTTTGATTAATAATATTTCAAAAATTTATTAAATTAATTTTTTATTCTAATTATCCTCTACTTTATTAGTGATTAGTATGTGGAGTTAGATAAAATTACATTGTTAATTAAATAGTGAAATTAAATGAGTAATCCATGTAATTTTATTCTGTTAAAAGTTATAGATGTCATAGGTGGAATCTACTTGGATGTCGTTGAATAAATAA